TGTGCTGCTCAAAAGCAAAACAAACAAAACGAAAAGGCTGTAAGAGAGGCAGGGTTTACTGTAATAATTACTCATGGGACTAGGAAGATCAATGGGAAACTCCAGGTTTGATCCCAGCACACGGTCCCCAGAACCATCAAGAACAACCTGCAAGAACCAACAGGTGTGACCCCAAATCATCATCATATCCAGGTCGGGGCTGTGGCACTTGCTTTTCAAGTTTAGAGGCTCTGGATTAGATCCCAGCCTTGGCATACCCTTCAGCACCCCTAAATGTGGCCTTCCGATAACAATAAAAAGTTGGGGACTGAGAGGTTACAACGCAGTGACTTAAAAGTGCCTCCCTTGTAAGTGTAATGCCATCAAATTCAATCCCAGTTGCTACAACCTGTTCTGAGAAAGGTCTGAACATCTCTAATTGGAGTTTTGTTCTGTTTTGTTTGGGGACCTCACCCTTTGGTGCTAGGATGAGAAGGGGGTGGAGGGAGATATCTCTAGATATGTGCTCAGGGATTGCTCCTATGATTAAAAACTGGGTCAACCATATGCAAGGCAGACCCCGGTATTATAAATATGGCTGCAGAAAAATTGGTGTGGAAGAAACGCAAAGGGTACAACCCCCCTGTAAGGACCAAAACTAAGAAAGATGTGTGATCACCAAGGACAGGAAGTATGACCCCTAGGTAGCATTATAACCAAAGTGTATGAGAGGCTAAGGAGTGTGACCCACAAAGGACAGTAGCTAAGTACTGTGAGCAACAAAGTCAGGCATGTGTATGTGACCTCAGGTAATCAGAGTAGCAACAACTTTAGCTAAAGAAAGAGAAAAAACCCTAGGCCATTAAATTCCCCATCCCCATGCCAGACCACACCTTTCATAAATTAAAGTCAGTTTGTGATGTTTCTTTCTAATCTATGTTCAGCTACCAACAAATAAACACTTTATGTTTCAGTATTCCAAATGTCTCACTGTTCTCATCAGTACTAGTCCACCTTTACTCTTCTGCAGTAGTTCCTTTCTCACCACTGATTTGGAAATCTAATACTTTTACAATTTACAATTCAAAATTCAACAAAATTTACTACAATTTCATTTCCACATTTTCACTCACACCTTTTTTTCCTGCACTCAGGAATTACTCCTGGCAGTACCTGGGGGACCATATGGGATGTCAGGGATTGAATCCAGGTCAGCCACATGCAAGGCAAACACTGTACCCGCTATACAATTGCTCCAGCCCCATAATTCATATCTCTTTCCAAGTAAAATGATGCCATTTCCACAAGCACTGTATATAGCACTGTCCTCCTGTTGTTCATCAATTTGCTCGAGCGGGCACAGTAACGTCTCTGTTGTGAGACTTGTTGTTACTGTGTTTGGCATATCGAATATGTCACGGGTAGCTTGCCGGGCTCTGCGAGATGGGCGGAGGAATCGGACTCAGGTTGGCCAAGTTGACTGCGTGTAAGGCAAACACCCTACTGCTGTGCTATCGCTCCAGCTCTATTTCTATTTCTATTGCTCCAGTTCTATTTCCATAAAATCTTCAGAAATTTGTAGTTGATGCAGATTGACATTACAATTCAGGTAACATTTTTTCATCTTACTTTAGCACAGCGGGTAGGGCGTTTGCCTTACACGTGGCCGACCAGGGTTCGATTTCTCTGTCCCTCTCAGAGAGCCAGGGAAGCTACCGAGAGTATCCCGCCCGCACAGCAAAGCCTGGCAAGCTTCCCATAGCATATTCGATATGCCAAAAACAGTAACAATACCAGTCCTCACAAGTGGAAATGTCACCAAATGGATGCAGCAAGGGGATGACAAGTGATACTTTAGAACCTATTCTTTCAGTCTGTGATCCTATCCTAAAGCCTTAAATTCTCTTTGTAATGATAGAAACAGCCAAAGAGGTTGGGCTACTTCCAGTAATACTTGACACCACAGTGTGAGCTTGACAGTTAAGTGCTCAGGTCAGGCAGTGCTGAGGAACTACTAGGGTTACAGATGGGGATGTTCTGGAGAGTCGTGCAGCACCACGGGGTGAACTCTGGGCTGGTTTTCCATTCCTTCCCAGACTCCTTATAAGAAGTTTTAAGGGCTAGAGTAACAGTACAGTAGGTAGGCCGACTACCTTGCATGTGACCAATCTGGGTTTGATCTTCACACTACATATGGATCTTCACACTACACACCAGGACTACTCCTGAATCAGGAGTAAATCTGAGATAGCTCAGAAGGGGTGGAAAACTGGGCCAGAGTTCAATCCCTGGTGCTGCATGACTCTCCCACACAGGTGTGGCCCCAAAACAAAATCAAATCAAAGAATATTTAAAAGAGATAAAATCCTAAGTCAACCCAAAGGTCAGGATCACTCCATCAAAAGGAACAGTGAAATCAAATATTAAATGTCCTTGAAGTCAGAATTAAAGGCATGGGTTCTTAATTAGAGAGAGGTCCATGGACTCCTCGGGCTACAAACTTCTATGAAGCCCTCAAATTTCATACAAAGTACATGTACAAGCCTTTTTCGAGGGTCCATACCTTTCATCAGTTTCAAAAAGATCTGTGACCTCCAAAAGGTTAAGAGGTTGCTCTAGAGAAAAAGCAAAGATAAGCAATGGTGATTGCAGCACTGTCCTCCTGTTGTTCATCTATTTGCTCGAGTGGGCACCAGTTACGTCTCCATTGTGAGACTTGTTACTGTTTTAAGCGTATCGAATATGCCACGGGGAGCTTGCCAGGCTCTGCTGTACGGGCGGGATATTCTTCTCGTTATCTTGCCGGGCTCCCCGGGTCAGCCGTGTGCAAGACAAACACCCTACCTGCTGTGCTATTGTTCCAGCCCAAGCCATGGTGATTATGAGAGTGAATCCTTTTTCTAGACTGTCTAGAGCACTTCATGTTCTCTTAAGATTATAATATCTGAAATTAGGTCAGAAGATCTTATTCAATCAATTTTAATATAGCCCTTAATATATACAGATTTTATGGCAGCACTACATAAACAAACATAAAGTCTTTATAAGGCTTCTGACTTACTCCAGTGGCTTCAAGAACAGAGATGATAAGAAATATTCAATACTCCTACTCCAATTTTTATAGGAATATAAAATTTTTCAAAAATTCCTTTTCTGATTGTTTCATAACATACAAAAATGTATAGTAAGCCCTCACTTTATGTGGCGGGTTCTTAGAAACCGTGACTTTAAGCATCGGAGAAATGTAATACAGCAGGCAGAGCACTTGACTCATACACTTGGGTTAGGTCTCTGGTACCACCTTGACACTATTTAAGATCCCTAGAGCATGGCCAGGAGTGATCCCTGACAGTCAGGAGTAAGCCCCGAGCACTGGGTGTGGTCCCAAAACCAAACAAACAGAAAACCGAGACTTTAAGTGCAACATGGCAAAGTACCAAAGTAAGTCCAGAAAAACTTAACTTTTCATTCAGTGTTCTCTCAAGATTACAAAGATTAAGATGTAGTTCAAGGAGCTGCTCTTCGGTAATATATCTTATTTAAGACTACATAGACTGGTGGTGGTTGTTAAATTGTTTGTTTTGTTTTGCTTGTTGGGTCACACCTGGGGATGCACAGGGGTTACTCCTGGCGGTGCTTGGGGAACCCTATGGGATGCTGGGGGGACAGCAGCACGCAAGGCAAATGCCCTACCCGCTGTGCTATTGCTCCAGCCCCCAATTGTTTGGTTTTTATTGAGATCCTGTAAACTGTTTAACTCTATTACATTAGAAGACTGTTAATATAAGCTACACATTCAGGGTCACCAAGTAAAAAAAAAAAAGTAAACCCCAGGAAAAATACAAAACCCCACTAGAATAGTTTTGAATCCAAGTGTAGATCTATAAACATTCACAGAAAGGCTCAATGTGAGTTAAAAAAAAATGGCTAAAGGCGTCTACCTACCCTTATTTTCCTTACGAGTTTTCTTAAAGCTCTTCAAGCTTTAAAGGCATTACGTTTCAGCTCTGGCTAACTCAGCCTGGTTTTTCCAAAGTTCCCCGGAATGATGTGACTAAAACATGATGGGAAAACTGCCCGTGAAACCACAATGTATAGCTAATCACAATACTCTCTTAATTCACCCTAAAAAACAAACCTACGCTTCTCTTTGAGGAAAAAAGACCGATCTGAACGTGGGCAACGCTTCCCAGGAGTTGCAGACCTGACTTTCAAAGCTGTAACAGAGTGTCACCCAGCGGTGACACCAGGAGATGCAGGGCAGGGGACCCTGGGCCGCAGGAGAGGAGCGAGCATCCCAAACCCGGAACGGCTTTGCCCACTCGTGCGGCCCGGGGTGGCTCTCCGGCACCGAGGGGTCCGGCCGGAACCAGGCGGGTGGGGGAGGGGGGACGCGGGGGACCCGCGCGAGGCATCCCACAACTTCTACGTCGGGGTCTGCCTGCACTTCCAACTCTTCACGTCCCCCTTACGAGGGCGCGTGAACCCACGTTTCGTGGAGGAGGCCTCATTCCAAGTTCGCCCGGGAGGTTTGCCCCCAAGTTCAAAAAAGACCAAGCATTTTTTTTTCCCGCGGAAGGGCTCGACAAGCAGAAAGACATCAAGGTGCCACTTGCAAACGGGAACAACAGACAGGAAAGCAAGAAGCCCGGGGAGAAAAGGGGTTTTCTCGGGCAGGGCAAGGAGCTCAAGAGGGGAGCACTGACGTAACGCGGCCCCGGCGAGAACCCCAGGGAAGTGCAACTTCCACAACCAGGTGAGGAGAGGGGACTGACGGCACAACCATGAAGGGGGCCAACACTGCGAGGACAGGCACTGAAAGTACACCGAAAGAAACGGAAAACCCAGGAAGGCGTAGCGGGGAGCGAAGGGGAAGCACAAAAGAGCAGAACTAGGCTGGGAGCTGAAAAAACGAAGTGGAAAAGCCTGCGAAGAGTTCACGTGGGAAAAGGCGCATGCTGCCCGGCAGAATTCAGTCCCCACAAAAGCCCAAGTCAGTCCTAAGCCCCCGTCCCCGGTACCTTCAGCTTATGCAGCTCCACCGTCTCCGTCGCCATCTTGCTGCCCCCCCCACGCCCGCAGCCTCCGCCTCCGAGAGCTCCCGCCTAGGGCAGGCAGCCCGGGCTAACCAATCGCTGCCACTTTTACTCCACCTCAAACCATCGGCTCCTCCCATTAGCCGACAGCGGGCGTCGCTCTCTCGCCTCTACACCCCTTTCTCCACCTCTCCCGAAAGGTGGGACGGGGAGAAGGGCGGGTCCTGCGCCTTCTGAACGACAGCAGCGGCGGCCAATTGCGCCTGCCCCTCGTAACCCGCGGACCAACGAGCGGCGGCAGCGCCAATCCGGCCCCGCCAATCAGGAGGCGGCAGAGGCGGTGAGGGCGGCAGCTTCCTGGAGACCGCAGGTGTAGGAGCGAGCGCCGCGCCCCGAGCCCGACCGGCTTCCGAAGCTGGCAGGTAGGGGCTTCGGGGGCGCGGGGGGCCGGGTGGTGAGGCAAGATGGTGGGAGGCTCTGGGTGAGGCGGCGGGCTCGAGCCCGAGCTGGGGAGCACGGAAGGGCCCCGGACGAGTCGGGGACGCGTGAGAGCAGCACGGGGCGAATTTAGTACTAGGATTCAGGGGGGCGAGGTAGAGCGGGGAGGACAGAAGCTGCTTCCGAGCTGGGCCTCCTCGGCTTTCCAGCCAGCACGAGTGGGCACTTGGCCGTGCCAGATGCGACAGCTCGGAGAACGCCCTAGAGTCGGAGCTCGGGCTCGTCGTCCGAGACGCCCAGCCCGGGTCCTTTCTTGCCGCGACCAAAAGCCTTGGGCCAGCGGGGGAGACGGGACGGGACGAGCCCCAGAGGAAACGACGGACGTTCGAGGGGCGTCGTCCCTTCAGCCCTCCGGGGGTCCTCGTTTCCCGGAACCCTCTGTGAATCCCGGGCGCTTGTGAACTTCTCCAGGAAAGGAGACGGCGCTGTCCGGAACAGGCGCCCCACCGGCAAGCTCCCCCGTCCCGGTGCGCTGAGTGCGGGGATCCCGGTGCCGATGAGCGATTGGAGGAAGTGACAGAATGCTTTATTCCCCGTGAGGTCAGGGGGTGTGGGCTGTTCAGGAGCCCACTCGGGGGAGCGCACACCTGGGGACGGGGGAGGGTGGAAGGAAATTGGACACCTGCCTGCTCCCCACCCTGGCAGGATGAATGTGGGGGTGGCACACAGCGAAGTCAACCCAAACACCCGAGTGATGAACAGCAGGGGCATCTGGCTGGCCTACATCATCCTCGTCGGCCTGCTGCATGTGGTCCTCCTCAGCATCCCCTTCCTCAGCATTCCAGTCGTCTGGACCCTGACCAACGTCATCCATAACTTGGTGAGCATTAACTGGCCCTTATTACCCACCCACGTGCCTTTCCCAGCCAAGAGAAAATCTCAGACTTGGGGGGGTGGGGGGGAGCGTGTATCTTCATTTGGGACAACAGCCTACTACTTGAACTGAAGAACTATTTTCTGCCTCCCCTTTGCCTCCTCCCAGGCTATGTATGTTTTCCTGCATACAGTGAAAGGGACACCTTTTGAAACCCCTGACCAAGGAAAGGCTCGGCTGCTGACACACTGGGAACAGATGGACTATGGGCTACAATTTACTTCTTCCAGAAAATTCCTCAGCATCTCTCCTATTGTACTGTGAGTTGCAGGGTAGAGTAGGGAAGGAGATGGGAGATTCAGGATGTGCTTCAAAGCCCACATGGAAGCCTTAAAGTTAAAAAAAAAAAAAAACAGCTACGGGGGCCAAAGAGATAGTACAGAGGTGAAGGCACTTGCTTTTTGCCTGGTGCTTACCCTGGATCAATTCATATGAATGTGGTCCCCTAAGCCCTCCAGGGGTCATATCCAAGCAGATCCAGGAAGAGCTCTTAAACAGCACTGGGTGTGGCTCCCCAAACCCAAATATATATATATATATTTTTTTTTTTTTAAATAAAGTTAAATCTTAAAATAATAGACTACTCTGGTCTGGGGAGATAGATCAAAGGTAGAGCACAATGCCTTGCATGCCAAGGTCCCAAGCTGACCCCTGGCATTGGCACCTCATGGTCCCTCAAGCAATGCAAGGTATAATCCTAGTAGCGCTAGAGCACTGTTGCTAAGCACTTCACTCCCCTTATCCCCAAAAAAGTCATACTACTCACTTAGACCCTTTGAAGATAATTATGGTACAGTAGATGATCTAAATCTGGGGAAAGCAATAAAAAGTAGAAGACAGTAATTAGGCAATTCACGCCATCTTAGCAGAGAAATGGATAAGTAAGGAATGGAGAAGCAATTGAGAAAAGATAAAACACCCAGTAAAACCAAATGATTTTACACTAAGTAAATGATAAAAGGCAGAACTAATGTCAAGTCTTTTAAAATAAATAAGCAAACAAAAAATCCCCACAACTGGGGAGAAGCAAGTAGGACTCAAGTTATCCAGCCTTGAAATTGCTTCAACTATCATCTGCCACATAATAATTTAAGAACATAAATTAAGGGCTCAGGATACAGCTCAGTGATACAGCTCAAGAGCACATACTTGACTTTCCTGCGTGAGACCTGTTTTGAACCCTAACACCACAAAATATATATTTACAAAAAAAATACTAAAGATAGCTCAGTGGCTGGGAGATCCTGGTTTGATCCCTGGCACTGCATCATTCCTAGGAACAATACTCAGCACTGAGCCAGGAGTAGCTGAGCACTATCAGATGTATCCAAAAGGCCCTAATATACACACAAATTACTAACTTAACAAGTCTCCCAGTAAGAGGTGCTCTCTGATTATCTTCCCAACCATAAAATAAATATAATGGATTTTTTTTTATACCATAAGATCCCTCTGCCCCTCTCGGAGAGCCTGGCAAGCTCCCTGTGCCATATTCGATATGCCAAAAACAGTAACAAGTCTCACAATGGAGACATTACTGGTGCCTGCCTGAACAAATCGATGAACAATGGGATGACAGTCCTACAGTGCTACCACAGGATTAATGCAATAAAACTGATTATTTAAAATAGAAAAAGAGTTGGGGGTACAGCTCAGTGGTAGAGTGCATGCCTTGTATGTATGAGATCCTAGGTTCAATTCCCAGAACCCTGTGTGTGTGCGTGCACGCATGCACACACACACACACACACACACACACACACACACAAGGCACTAGAAAGCTATGGATACAAATAGGGAAGGCCAACTTCACTTAAACCTGTTTTTTCTTTCCCCAGCTACCTTCTGGCCAGTTTCTACACCAAATATGATGCTGCTCACTTCTTCATCAACACAACTTCATTGCTCAGTGTACTACTTCCAAAGTTGCCCCAATTCCATGGAGTTCGTCTCTTTGGCATCAACAAGTACTAAGGGATGTGCCAGGGGAAAACTGCTGGAACAAAGGGCTGTACCATTACAGTCTCTTATCTTGAAAGCCTAATAACTATACAACTTTTCCCAAACTCTAAGGACAAAGACATTGGACAATGGGGTTCCTGGGTCCAACCCTGCTAAGAGCAGATACTTTTTTGAATCAGGGAAGGCAAGTGAGATAAGGGTCAAATGGTTCCTCTGTGATAGGAAGCCATGTCTGGGCAGCTTTTTTCGTAGTTAAATTTTTCTATGTCATCCACCCTCACACCCTTACAGCATTATGCTGTTTTCTTTAAAATAAAGTTCTTTTTTTTTTCCAGATGTGACTACAATTTGGTCAGCAGTAAGGGTAGGGAGATATCTTCATAAGGCTGGGGAAGAAAGATGAAATGCTGACTTACTGAACAAAACTTCTGTAAGGTATTTCTTATCCCCTCTCCCTTGATCCAGAAGGAGGTACCCTTCACTCAGCTAACAATTAGTAGGGAAATGAATTCTCAAGTGAGAAAGGGGGCTCCAGCTATGTGAGCAAAGAAAGAGAGGGAAGATACAGATTGCCAGTTACATATTTATAGAAAGATAATTCCCTGGCTTTAAATAGATATTTACATACAAATATGAACAAAATTTTAAAAATACAAACCCTTGGATCATAAGGGGGCTGCCTGAAGTTCCTCTTTCCTTTTCCCTCACCAAAGGGCAGAGGGCTTTTTAAAAATTATTTTGGTCATCCCTGCATCAACAGGACACTGGGTGAAAGTCAAAGAAAAAATTCATCAGAGTTCCTACTCTCCAACTTCCGTTCCTATAGTAAGGGCTACATGTTTCTTGTTCTCTCTTTCAACTAGTTCTTCTGGGTAAAGGATGGAATTCCCTCCTGAAATGGGTTATGAAGTAAGAAAACTTGTAATTTAAAGAGGAAGGAAAGTGTCATCTGCTCTAGAAGCAAAAAATAAGACAATAGCTCTAGAACCCAGGAGATACCCACATTGCTATGGGAGATACTGTCCAGCCCAGGTCTAGGCCCTAGATCTTGCTCTAGTTACTCCCTAATTTCTTTGGTATTGTCAGAAGACAAAATTCAGTTCCTGGGTGCTGGTGGAAGAGGGAGAGTAGTTTCAGGGCTTCCTATAAGTACTGAGTGAACAATATGAGCTTGAAAGTTTCCCTTTTTTTTTAAGTATTTAAAAATAAATCAAACTCCATCCTGTGCTGTACACAGCCCTTTGGACTCCCTGACATTGATTTGAGGAAGAAAGAGTTGGGGCGTTAACGTTGGAAGGGCCTCCTCACTTTCTTCCGCCTCTTCGGTTTGGTTTCTCCCTTGGGTACTGTGTTGTTGGGCTTGGAGGGTGTAGTGGGTCCGGGGCCAGGCTGAGGAGCTGCAAAGAAGTTTCCATTGGACATATGGCCTGGGGGTACTTGAAAGATCCGACTCAAGAAATCCTGAAGGTCTGCAGGAGGGGAATCTGGAGTGGCTCTGGGAAGAAAACAGAAAAAATAATGAAGCAAAAAAAAAAAAATGAAGCAAGAGTTCTTACAGTTTATCAGTTCCCAAACTTCTTAAAGAATACGAAATCTAGGTTCCTAAACATCATGTCATCTGAAACAAGATGCAGAACTACAATAAGGTAAATTATTGAACTGTCACCTACCTCTGCCGCCCACTGGTGCCTGGGAGCCGAGAACCAAATGAGATGTGATAGGGGACTCTGTGGGTGTCTGGAGAGATTCCCACGCGCTGGCATCCAGCCCATTCTGTAAACAGGAGAAATAATTAGCAAAAATGACAGTTTTGTGTATATATGAGCCAAAGTTTCTTTTTTTTGGGGGGGGGGGTTGGAAGGTAAGGGGTGCCAACACCTGGCGATGCTCATGGCTTACTCCTGGCTCTACACTCAGGAACTACTCCTGACAGAGCTAAGGAGACCATATGGGATGCCAAGGATCAAGGCAAGGCAAATGCCCTACCCACTGTAGTATAGCGCCAGTCACTTTTTCATTCTTTTTTGTTGTTTTGGGGTTGTACCTAATTGTGCTAAGGGCTTATTCCTAGCTCTGTACTCGGATCACTCCTGGCAGGGTTTGAGGAATGATTGGTACCAGGGATTGAACCTAGGTCAGCCACTTGCAAGGTAAGTACCCTACCCACTGTACTATCCCTCCGGCTCAAACCCCTATTTTTTGTTTTCTGGGAAAAAGGTTGGGCCATATCAAGTGGTACTGGGGACTCATCTCTGGTGTTCAGGCAGCCATGTGGTGCTAGGGATCAACCCAGGGTCAGCTGCATGCAAGGCTGTAGCAATAACCCCTATATCACCTCTCCAGTCCTTGAACCCATCTTTCTAGAGGACAAAATCCTACCTGTGATGTCGTACACCTTTCCATCCATCAGTGCAAAGTATGTGATCTTGAGACCAAACATGCTTGATTCTGCCCAAAAGTCTCCCTCCTCAGCAGGATGTAGCTTATTACACTCAGCACAGTATCTGGCACTCTTTGCTTCCCGGTCCATTTCAAACCTCCTGCAATCCAAAAATGAATAATTCCCTCATAATTTGTTAGGTCTACCTAGCACCTTGCAATAGTCTTATTATTGCTAAATATGGTTGCAACATGTAAAACTATCCCCTCTCAGTTAAATATGATAGATGGATATCATTAAGGTGCTCAGGGCCAACCTAATGCAGGGATCGAACTCAGGGTTTCACACATGCATGGGATGTGCTCTACTTAAGCCACATCTACAGCTCAGTTTTCCTTACTGTTAATTCAAATCCCAATTTCCTGAAAATTAAGACGAAAGCAGAAACCTCAAGTTCCTTCTGTTTACCATCTGTATCCCACAAATCACAAATCATCCTGTTATTCGTCGATTGCCTCGAGCAGGCCCCAGTAACGTCTCCTTCATCCTAGCCCTGAGATTATATTCAAGGCTCTTTAGGAGAATGAAACCCATCATTGTTACTGGTATTTGGCATATTGGGTACGCCACAGGGAGTTTGTCAGACTCTGCCGTGTGGGCAGGTTACATTCGGTAGCCTGCCAGTTTGTCCAAAGTAAGGTAAAGGTAAGGTAAAGGCCCTCCCGTTGATCGTCGATTTGCTCGAGCGGGCCCAGTAACGTCTCCATTGGAGACTTTGTTGTTACTGTGTCTGGCATATCGAATACTCTCGGTAGCTTGCCGGGCTCTCCGAGAGGGGCGGAGGAATCGAACTCGGGTCGGCCATGTTGGCCGCTTGTAAGGCGAACGCCCTACCCGCTGTGCTATCGCTCCAGCCCTTGTCCAAAGTAGGAATGGAGCGATAGCACAGCGGGTAGGGCGTTCGCCTTACAAGCGGCCAACATGGCCGACCCGAGTTCGATTGCTCCGCCCCTCTCGGAGAGCCCGGCAAGCTACCGAGAGTATTCGATATGCCAGACACAGTAACAACAAAGTCTCCAATGGAGACGTTACTGGGCCCGCTCGAGCAAATCGACGATCAACGGGAGGGCCTTTACCTTGTCCAAAGTAGGAATGAGATAATAAGATGTCATAATAAGATGTCGCACGGCCGCGTGGTTCCGGGAGCTGGTTTTTATAGTCTCTAAGTCTTGGCCGCTGATGGGATTCCAGGGGGCCGGTTGGTGGGTGTGACCCCCACCTACTGGAATTTGGAGGATCTGGGTGGAGGATGCTCGGCCCAAATCCGAGTAGGCTTGGAGATCTCGGCCCCGGAACCTGCGTGACTTTGTCCCTCTGCCAGTACCTTCATGTGTGCGGAGAGTGGTCTCAGCATGGTGGTGGCTGGTCCTGGAGGTCTTTGGCTGCCGGAGCCCGGGTCGGGGCGGGGAGGAAAGCTCAACCCGCTCCCCTCCAAGGGGCCCCGGCGGCGAGGACAGTCAGGCGCGGGGGCAGGAGACTGCCCTGTTCTCTTCTGGGAGCTGGTTTTTATAGTTTCTGAGTCTTGGCCGCTGATGGGATTACACGGCGCCAGGGGGCCAGTTGGTGGGTGTGACCCCCGCCTACTGGAATTTGGAGGATCTGGGTGGAGGATGCTCAGCCCCAATCCGAATAGGCTTGGAGATCTCGGCCCCGGAACCCGCGTGACTTTGTCCCTCTGCCAGTACATTCATGTGTGCGGAGAGTGGTCTCAGCATGGTGGTGGCTGGTCCTGGAGGTCTTTGGCTGCCGGAGCCCTGGTCGGGGCGGGGAGGAAAGCTCAACCCGCTCCCCTCCAAGGGGCCCCGGCGGCGAGGACAGTCAGGCCCCCCGCGCCTGCATCCCACAACCACCAATAAAAGTTCTTGTCTGCCCGATCCCCGTGCTGTCTCATTACTGTCCTGTGTCATACTTATGCTTTCCCTGGCATCGGCTGCACATCATAGTATTCATTGCCTCCTTGAGGTCATCCTGCAGCTTGGAAAGAAATTCATTCACTGAACGGCTCAATTCATTCTCTGCCATTCGTTTCCTAAGTGAAGAAAGGCATTGTAAGTCATGGTATTAAGTAAGGGATGAAGAAATCAGATTTATCAACATTTTGGAGACCCTGGCTAGCTAGAAAGACAAGCAATTTATTCTCTCCCTTGGAGAGCCAACATTCACAAGTCCAGGAATATCTGCTATTAAAGATTAAACATCAGCCACATCTAACAGTTTCCCAGCTTCAACTTACATCTCATATTCCTTCCGCCTTTCAGGGTTGCTGACAATGTCCCAAGCTGCCCGCAAAACCTTGAAAGCCTCCTCAGCCCGGGGATGGTGATTTTTGTCAGGATGAACCTACCAAAACAGATTTCATTAAAATCTATCCCTTCTCCCCAATTGGTCAAAATAACATATTAAAAGATTTTCTTAGCACCTTTTTGGAGAGTCAGTATAGCTTAATGATTAACTGCTCTGTCTGCAGACAGCTCTCAGTTAAAGACACAAATCAGTCACTTACTTGCTATATGACCCAAAATATTTTATCTCCCATGAATTGTTGGGAGTAGTAAATGAGAACAGTGTATAGCACAGTACCATCCAAGTCTATAGCTGTCCTAACTTTAGTGCTGTTTAACTTGATGCCTTTAGGAGACAACACCAATCCTAGGCAAACCCAGATGCTTGTTTACTACCCTACCTGGCTGGTACATGCGTACTGAGCCTGCACATTTGACCCTTATTGTCATACAGCATTCTGACAATGTTACATACTCAAACCCATTACTCTGTAAATTGAAAATTCTATCTACACAAAACTTCCTACAATAGCTGCCTTTCTCCTAAAGATGAAATATTCTATTTCAACCTTCAAAGACTTTTAATCCATTTTTCAACCTTTTCTGCCAAAAAAATGGTATTCTTTTCCTACAGCCTCCTGTTAAGTCATTGACAATTCCAATGTACATAGAACATCCTTATAGTCATGGTTACTCTGGGGCTTAGCAAGGACAGTCAAGGGTTCTATTTAAAAGAAATCCACACTATAATAACTCAAAATTTTATATTTATATATGTGTTGTAACACATTTATATGTGTTAAAATTCCATATATATTTATATGTGTGTATGTATATTTAAATGTATATATTACATATGTATATAAATTTACATATGTATTTATATATGTGCACACACATACGCACATATCAGAACTGCAACTAGGAAAAAAAAACCCACAGAAAATTTGGCCCAGAAAAATAAATGAGAACTTTGGAGTACAGGGAAGATGGGGCTAGAGATAGTACATTGGGTAAGGTGCTTGTCTTGCATGTAGCCAACCTGGGTTCAATCCCCAGCACCCCTTAGCCCGCCAAGCCCTGCCAGGAGTGATCCCTGAGTTCAGAGCCAGACAAACCCTGAGCACAATCAGGTGCCCCTCCCCACCCCCACAAAAAAATTCAGACTATCCTCTAAACTGTATACATTTCCTACCAAATTAGTTTTGTTCTTTGCTAAGTTACAGGCCTCATCCTTTATTAATAAAATGATTAATAAGCACCTCAGTTGTCTATTCCACTTGAGTGTCATAGAACCCCGGATGGCTTGCACACTATACTGTTTTGCCAGTCCAGTTCCACATAGTAAAAGAAACTGCTAATATAATTTACCTATATTTCTTATATTCATTATAAAGTCTTGCACTGAAATAGTAATAGAAATGGTATCCAATAGGAATCTAGGGCCAGAGAAAAATAGTTCAAAGGACTGGAGCCGATGTTTTGCCTGTGGGACCCCTGGATGTGGTTGCACTACATGCTCCCATCCCCTCCACCCAAGCACTGCTGGATAAACAAAATAGAAAAAAAAAATCAATTTTCAGGGCCAGAGAGAGAGTGCAGGTAGTAGGGTACTTGCACGCAGCTGACCGGGGTTTGATCCCTGGCATCCCATATGGTCCCCAAGCCCTCCAGGAGTAATTCCTGAGTGCATAGCCAGGAGTAACCCCTGAGTACTGCCAGGCATGGCCCAAAACAAAATTTTTTTTTTTTTTGCTTTTTGGGTCACACCCAGCGATGCTCAGGGGTTACTCCTGGCTCATGCACTCAGGAATTACTCCTGGAGGGCTTGGGGACCATATGGGATGCTGGGAATCGAACCTGTGTTGGCCATGTTGGCTGCGTGCAAGGCAAACGCCCTACCCTCTGTGCTATTGCTCCAGCCCCCCAAAACAAAAAATTTTAAATAGTAATATTTATTTTTAATTTGGGGGTCACACCTGCTGGTGCTCAGGAGCTATTCCTGGCTCTATGCTCAAGGGTCACTCCTGTCTATGCTCAGGGAACTGAGCTGAGAACTATACCGGGGTCAGCCCTGTGTAAGAATAGCACCTTAGCCCCTGTACAATCTCTCCAGTCCCATAATCTAATATTTCATAGCAATTTGATCACATGATTAAACCATTTCTCTCATCATATAGTACATCACAACTCCCATCTTTACCCCTCTAAAAAACAAAAGCAACCATATTTTCATGCTTGATATACAGGACTTAATGTTCATTCTCTTTCTTGTTTTTCCCACCTGACTGCTGCTCTTAAGATGGTTTGTTTCTTCCACATTTTCTTCCAAAATCTTTTTTTTTTCCTTTTTGGGTCACACCTGGCGATGCACAGGGGTTATTCCTGGCTCATGCACTCAGGAATTACTCCTGGCGGTGCTCGGGGGACCATATAGGATGCTGGGAATCGAACCCGGGTCAGCCGCGTGCAAGGAAAACACCCTACCCACTGTGCTATCTCTCCAGCCCTGAAAATCATCTCTTTCATGACCTTCTGAACCTTCCCCAAATAGAATGACATCCATACTTGCAGGTCTGGGACAAGTAGATTTCCCAGTGCTCAAAAAACCTTTTGTTCAAGAGAGAGCAACTGACAGGCTTTTTGTTTGTTTGTTTGGGGGCCACATCCCAAAGTACTCAGAGCTTACTCCTAGCATGGTACTCAGGAATCACTCCTGGCAATGCCTGGGAAGTATATGGGATGCCAGGGATTGAACTCAGATCATCAGTATGCAAGGCAAGTACCTTTCCTGCTTGTATTATCTCTATGGCAGGTTTGCTAACTCAGCTTCTTTCTCTATGCTAGTCAGAGGAATTCCAATTGGATATTCCAAGGTGAATGGCTCCAACACACTCAAGAGACCTCTACATTCAGTTCATTTCACTTAAATAAGGGGGGCAGGGAGAGTGGGAGCTGCTTACCTTGATGCAGCTGACCCCAGTTCAATCCAAAGCACCACTGGGGACACTTCTGAGCACAAAGCCAGAAAGAGTCATTGAACACCACTGGGTATGGTTCAAAAATCCATCTCCACCCACCCTCCCCCCGCAAAAAAAAAAAAAACCACTCAGCGATGTAGGTCAATACTTAACTATATGCCTTGCATGGATAAGACCTGAGTTTGATCCATAGCACCAACAAAAATAAATCTCAGGACCTAAAAAACCCCTAAAAAATGTAAGAATCCATATTAGAGGGGGAAATGTCTTTATGACTTCCCTAGGAATTAAAGTTATCCTCTTCAATCATTAAAATGTTTTCAGGGCCAGAGATAAGGTGTTTGCCTTGCACAAAACTGGCTGGGGTTTAATCCCCATAAGTCCACGTGATCCTCCAAGCCCCACCAGGGGTGATTCTTAAACTGAGAGCCAGGAGTAAGCCCTCAGCACCACTTCATATATCCCATCAAACAGAAAGTTTTCTGGGAAAGGGAGCAATAGTACAGCAGGTAGGGGGGCTTGCCTTGCACATAGCCAATCCACATTCAATCCCTGGCACCCCATAGTAACCCCCACATACACACTGCCAGGAGTGATCTCTGAGATCACTGAAATCAGAGCCAGGAGGAGGCTCTCGACACAGCCGGTTGTGAGACTCAAACACACCCCCAACCTCAAAAAAAAAAGTTCTGGGGCCAGAGAAACTGTACAGGGGGTAAGGCATTTGCCTTTCACGTGGCAAATCCTGGCTCAATCCACGGGAGTACATATGGGTCCTCTGAGTACCTCTTGGAGTGATCCTGAAGCACAGTGCCATGAGTATGCCCTGGGTATCGCTGGGTACAGCACCCTCCACCCCCATCCCAATAGACTATTTTTTAATTTATAGTATTTGGGGATTGGAGAGATAGTACAAAAATAAGGCACTTGCCCTGCATGTGGCTAACCTGGATATAATCCTCAGCACTAATATGGTCCCCTGGTCCCCTGAGCACTGCCAGGAGTTTATTCCTAAGCACAAAGTCAGGGACAAATCCTGAGCACTGCAAGTTGTGGCAAAAATAATTTTAAGTTTCAAAGAGTTACCATCTAGGACTGAAAATGTAGTACAGGAGTTAAGGTGCTTTCCGTGCATACGGTTAACCCTAATTTGTCACAGACACCGCATAGTCCCCCTGAGGATCACCAGATGTGACCTCCCAACACAGCCAGGAGTAGCCTTGAGTACCACTGGTGTGGCGCAAACACCCTCCTCCCACACAAACATTACCCTTCAGCTTCAAGTAATTGTTTATTCTGTCTTTCCCTTAATTCTACTCCCTCCAAAATTACAATAGAAAATGAAAATGAGTAAGAGTAAAGAAAGGATACTTACCATCACTGCCAGCTGCCGATAGGCCTTCTTCAATTCAACATCTGATGCTGTGGCTTCAACCCCCAACACGTGGAAAGGGTTTAGCTCATCTTCAGGAACCTCAGCCATAGTCAAGAGTCGAGCCACTTCCTCTTCAGGCTGGCAGAAGCGACTACTTGCTGCAGGTGCATTCCCTTGTCTATTGGTCCTCCGCTTCACCCAAGGCAACTCAAGCCAACCCCACTGAACCATTCTTACCAGCAGCTGCCATGGCCTACTCTCTCTCAACATAGTCACGCAACGCTGCAAGGTAGGAGAATCGAGCCAAGAGAAAAGCCAGGTAGCTCTACCTCTCCAGCCTGAACGGTCACCCAATCCCAGGAGAAACTGCCAGCTCAACTGCAGACAGCCCAAGAAGAGGGCCAGTGCCAGGAGCAACAAAGCACCCAGTAGTCTGAGAAAGCGGGTGAACAGCCCTGTCCCATAGAGAAATCCCTGGCTGAGAAAACAGAACACCACCTGGGCCCAGCCCCCAAGTCGCCCTGCCCAGACTCCCACCCAGACTCGAAAAAGATCCAGATCACTGCCATTCAGCTGCCTGCATGCATAGATCAGATGGCCACAAGCTTCCACATATTCTCCCACCAATACCAGCAGTTCGATCATCCACCAAAAGCCCGCCTGTCCTAGCTGACACAGTTCCTCAGCTCCCCACAGTCCTATGCCTCGGCGTCTCTCTGCCTGACTTCGTTTCCGGCCCAGCCGATGTCGACCAGGAGACCTGGGATCCCTGCGTCCACCCTCCCGAGTATCCTCCTTGGCTGGAAGCCGGTGCCGCTGTCTCCGGGCAGGAGGTTTCTTTCCACTGGGTTCTCGTGAAAAATCACTGGGGAACTTAAGAGGTTCCTCATCATTGTATTTCTCTTCATCTTCCTCCAAAGCTGGAGAGGTACAGTGGTGGCAAAAGGTGCTAGCCAAGCTCTCCTTTCCCCCGGAGTACAGCCCTTCCGAGATTCCATGGCAGTTGCAAGCAGACGGAATGGTAAGAAAAGAAGGGTTTCCATGCTCCTGGCACCTGGCCTCAGTTTCTCTTGAGAGTTCCTGATCCACTCCCGATTCTTCTTCTGAATATGCCTCACTCTGATCCGGGTCCTCTCTAGCCCGAGGTGGGCCTGGGCCTCTTGGGGAGCCATGGCTTGGATCCGACCAGTGAGCTGGGTTTGGGGGCTCTGTGTACTTAGGACTAGAGTGTTCTGTGAGGCAGCGGGTACCATTAGCAGCACGGCAGCGGGTACCATTAGCAGCACGGCAGCGGGTACCATTAGCAGCACGCCCCGCTGAGTCCCTGAGTCCTGAGAACGAAAGAATTTCAGGGCCACCAGAAGGCCCTAAAGTCCTGAGGGAAGTACCACCACCGTGGTGGGCTCTACACAACCCTCTTTCTCCGGGGTGCTTCTGGGCCATGACCCCAGGCCTTCCTGAGGGCTCTAAGTCACAGCCATCATGGGAAGTTAAAGCCTGTAACAAAGGTATCAAGGTGGGCATGGCAGGAAGAAGGGAAGGGTTCAGTTCCTCTTCAACTGGGGGAGGGGTCTAAGCAAATCCCAACTTCACGCCCAGCCCTGAGCCATCGCCGACATTAACGCAACCCTGCTCCCCTGCTCCCTCCCTCCTAGCCCGTTTTTTTTTCTTTCCCCAGGATCTAGAGAAGAGGGAGGTGCCGCACAGGGTGTGGTCCTGGCCCGATCTTGGGGGAAAGGCAAAGGCTACCGGAAAGGGGGGCCGCAGACAGCCCGAAAAGGGTGGGGACTGCGAGGCCCTCCAGGAAAACCTGGGGGCGGAGCGTGGGGTAGCCCCCGAGAAAAACCGTCGGGAAGCCCTCGAGTGGGGCCGGGAGGGCGAAGGTAACTCACCGGAGAGCGGCGGTGACTCCTCCCCCTCGAGCAGCTGAGCCTGGGGCCAGGGGGAGCTACTGGAGCAGCTCCCCCGGCTCCGCCTCCTGCTCACGCTCCGCTTCCGCCTTCCGTCCCCGCCGAGGCCGTAGACCCGCACCTACTTCCACTTCCGGGGTCACCAGGGAAGGGCCGAGAAGAAGAGAAGGCGCGAGCCCGTCTAGCCGACGCTAAGGCAAATCGGAGGCGGAGGCCTGGGGGCGGGGTTAGCTTCGGCCCCGCCCCTTAAAGTGCCCGCTGCCGGAGCCCTCCGCGTGCTGAAGAGGGATCCCCGCCGGGTAGCTCTGCAGGAAACGAAGAGAACAGGCTCCGCTGTAGGGGCAGGATTTCAAGGGTCCTCTGGCTGTGTTCTTGGGCTTGGCCGAGACTGGGAGATAAAGGACAGCCACCGAGCCTCTTTCCCTTGCAGACCAACTCAGGGACCTAGAGGAACCACAGCCCTGCTGGTTGCGGCGAAGACAGAGGCCTCTTTGTAGGAAACGGAGGTGGAGCAGAGGAGAGGGCGCCCCGGGCCAGCCCCCGCCCTGCCCCTCCCCCTTCCCCAGTGCGGCTCCCTCTTTCCCGGCAACTTTCGGCCTCCCCAGCGTCTAATCCAACTGGCGAGCTGCCCCCGCACAACTGAGCTCCCTCGGCCCGGAGCCAGCCCCGTTACGAAGCAGGACCGGCAGGGCCTACCTCCACTGGGCTCAGGACTGGCGCGGAGGGCCCCAGTTTACTGCACTCAACTGCGTGCTGCTTTGCATCTCATTTGCATAGCGGGCAGTTTGGTCGCCGTCCACCCGCCCCCCCACCGACACCCGACCAGCATCCGCTCGGTCGGTGCCTTCTGCACACGCTTCTCTGGGTAGTCGTCTCCCTTCCAGTGCCCGTCGTGCCCCGCAAGTTCTTCCACCCATGAACCCCCCCGCCGACGCCCCCAGACCAGTGAGAGCCCCTTCCCCGAATCCCCGATCCCGTACGCCGGGTTCTCCAGGAGACAATACTCCAATTCTCTAGGAAGCGGGAGAAACCAAACCCAAGGCAGGGGGACGCTGAGACCCCAGAGCGGGCGTTGAGAGCTTCTAGTGATTCATCGCCTAAGTATTCTGGGGCTTTTTCCTAAACCTCCTTCGATGTCCTCGCGACCTTACCCTGCTGTGGGTGGGGAAGGGTCCCCGGCCCCGGCTAGAGGAGTGGGCAAGCCGGGTTCCCCCGCACACAGCGCACAGAATCGAAGGGGCCCGCCCCGTGATGTCAGCCACCCCCCACCCACTCTTGGCCCCCTTGCTCCCCCCGCCCCCAGCCCCCCCAAGCTGGTTGCGTTTCTCTCACCGGGCTTGGGTTCAGACTTGCTAGAGTTTAAGGGAACGAGGAACAGAGTGGCCCCGGGGGTACCCAAACGGGACAGCCACCCTAACGCCTTAGGACATCCGGGCAGGGGATGCAGCTGGAAGTCTAGGGAAGCACTGCTACCCCCTCCTCTCCTCAACCCTGGCGGGGTGGTGAGTAGTGAACACCCCCTCCCCAACCTCTCCTTGTTTAGGGTCCCCCGACCACTCAAGCGGGTTAGGAGAGGAACCTCAGGAATTCCTCAGGCCAGCCCTCCAGGGTGCCTTAATGCCCCAAAGAAGACAGCTGCGGGGCACTCCGTCAGCCCTACCCGACCCTGTGGACCCTATGCCCGACCCTCCCTTCTCAAGACTAAACTCAAGTGTCCCCCCCCCCCCGTCCCCCCCCCGTCCCCCCTCCCCCGCTCCCCAGTCCTGATACCCCTGGGGCCAGGGAGGGGTGGGGTGAGACCTTCCACTGTGCAGAGGTGAGAAGTCTGTGGCAAGGTATCTGCGTGTCTCATGAGGTGCCCTGGGAGTAGGACTGTGGTGGTCTGGAAGCCCCTTCCCCCAACAATGCCATCTCTACTTAAAGCTGAGGCTTCAGACTCCAAAGTGTGGGGCGGCTGTCTCTACTTCATTCCTTGTTCCAGACTTTTTGGTTTTTTGGTGTCTAGTGGGTTTCTAGTTTTCTGGGTTTTGTCTTCCTTCTTCTTTCCCTAGTGTTGGAACAGCTGTCAGGAGACCCTTGCATGACTCATTCTCTCCTCTTCCTCCTCCTCTCCCAAACTTTTAACCCCACATTTCCCGGGCCAGAGAGCTAGTTTGGAGTCCTAACTGCAGAGTTCTTTCAAGAGGAACAGGGTGCTGGACCCTTACCCACCAGCCCCGTGTGCCCTGGCCCCCTCAGCCTTCAAGCCTTCCTCCTCCTGGTCCACCTTTGAAAGCTAGGGGCTAGGGAAAGACTCATTAAGTGCTAGGATTTTCATTTAAGTTTTATGTAGTATCCTTGGGAGTGGGAGGATGTCAAGAGCCAGTTAACTCCCCTCCACCCAATTCTCCACTTGACCCCATGATCCCAGCCTTTCTACAAAAGAAATAGCAGAGGCCAGAGCGACGATACAGTGGGGTAGGACGTTTGCCTTGCACGGGGGCCAACCCTGGTTCAATCCCTGCCATCCCATATGCTCCCCTGAGCACTGCCGGGAATAATTCCTGAGCACAGAGCCAGGAGTAACCCCTGAGCAACACTGGGTATGACCGAAAAAGTCCCCCCACCACCACCAAAAGAAAGAAATAGAGTGGGCCTGAGGGATAGCATAGCGGGTATGGCACTGATTGCCTTGGATATGGCTGGTCCAGGTTCAATCCTCGGCATCCTATATGGCCCCTCAAGCCCTTCCAGGAGTGACCCCAGAGCTCAGAGCTGGAATAAACCCTGAGCACTGCTAAGTGTGGCTCAAAAACAGACCAGAAAAAAAAGAAATAGAGGTACAAAGTCATCCGTGGGTACCTGAGCTCCTGTCCCTACCTCCCTCACAGGTTTCCCAGTCCCCTCAAAGGCATTCATGGACGGATGAGAAGAGCTGACACTCCCCCTCATGACTACCTTCTCTCCTTTGGCCATGGAGGAAGCCTTGCTGCCCTTGGTCATGACCTCTGACCCCAAGCCCTTTAATCAACAACTCCCAGAGCCTCCAGATCTAAGATGTCTCTTGAAATCCCAGGACAGTACTGAACTGGCACCCGCCCTGGTGTGTGCTCTTTGCTGCTGCTTTGGAATCATCTACTGCTGCTTCGGTGAGGGCAGAGCCCGGGTTCTCAGGGGGCAGCTGCTCGAGACTGTCACCCTCGAATATGATGCCAACTTTATCCTGTACTCCTGGGTCACCTCTGCTCCTCTCATGGGAGTCCTACCTTTAGTGTGACCCCTGCTATTCCTGCCACCTCTTCCTGTCCTTCCCATACTTCTGACCCCCTAAAAATATACTACCTCAAATCTCATCCCCACCTCACCTACCATGCTTAAGGCTCTTTCACCTTCTCTACTGACCTTATTCGGCCTCTGCTGATTTCTTCCCATCTACCTACCTGCAAGAACTAGCTCGGCTCAGTGCATCCATCTTGCTATTGACTTCACTCCCGTTCCCTCCCACTTGCTGCAAAGTCCCTGAGATCATCCCCAGTGCTGTTGTCTTGAAGTCACAGTGCTGCTCGTGTCCTCTGCTCCTCTGGTCAGACATTCCTCTCCTCATTCATCACATCCGTCCCCGCAGACCCTCTGCCCCGTACTGTGTCTCAGTGTCTCCTGCCTCCCTTCCCAGGCTACCGCTGCTTCAAGGCAGTGATGTTTCTCTCCGGTCTGCTGTCTGGGGCGCTGGTCATCTTCCTGTTGTGCCACAAGGAGCGAGTGCTAGAGACACAACTGAGCCTGGAGGTGAGCGCAGGCATTGCGCTGGGCATCGGACTCCTCTGCGGCCTGGTCACCATGCTGGTTCGCAGTGTGGGGCTCTTCCTGACTGGTCTCCTGCTAGGCGTCACCATGGGTGCTGGTGCCCTGCTCGGCACTGAGCCCATCTACCAGCCGCCTTCAGCCTGGGTGCCAGCTGGTGGATTGGTGGGACTGGCACTGCTCGGAGCTCTCCTCACACTTCGGTGGCCACGTCCATTCACCGTTCTGGGCACAGCCCTGCTGGGGGCAGCAGTGCTGGTGGCCTGTGCTGACTACTTCCTGGAGGGGCTGGCCCTGGGCAGTCGGCTAGGCCAACGTTTGCAGGCACTTCCGGCCTTGCCTCCTCTCTGCTGGTATAGCTGGGTCTTGCTGGGCACCTGGCCAGCCCTGGGGGCTCTTGGGGCCCTAGCACAGTGGAAGCTCATGGATGAGGAACATGGAGGTCATGCCAACGGTGAGTTAATGCCACGGTACAGAAGCAGTCAATCTATGCCTTCTGGCGTTCCCAGTCTCCAGACTGGAGGCAGACTGGGGGAAGAGGGAGGAGGTGCTAAGGTGAATGGGATGGAGCATTGAAAGTTCAAGTTAGAAGCACCGAATCAGAGTAAGAAGAGAAGGGCTGCGGACTGGAGAGATAGCACAGTGGGTAGGGCGTTTGCCTTGCACGCGGCCGACCCGGGTTCAATTCCCAGCATCCCATATGGTCCCCTGAGCACCGCCAGGAGTAATTCCTGAGTTGAGCCAGGAGTAACCCCTGTGCGTTGCCGGGTGTGACCCAAAAAGCAAAAAAAAAAAAAAAAAAAAAAAAAAAAAGAGAAGGGCTGGGCTGGAGGGATAGTTTAGTGAGCAGGGTGCTTGCGTTGCATGCAGCTTTCCCGGCTTCAATCCCCAACACTCCTGAGTACAGAGCCAGGAGTAAGCCCTGAGAATTGCTTGGTGTGGCCCAAATACTGAAAAAGAAAAAGAATGAGAAGAGAAAGTGTCAGAAGCTTCTGGGAAGAGTTATTGGACAGTATTTAAGAAGAAAAGCAGAGTTCCAGGGAGGTCCCGAGATTTCTTGTAGAATAACTGGAGTGAAGAGGAGCATTGAGAGCACCATCACAGGGAATCCAGTGGGTTTCTTCAGGGCGTGAGTACGCTCTTGGTGGGAGCAAGGGTCACCAAAGGTCTCCCTGAATCTGGGCTGCCCCCTCCCAAGCAGTGGTGCTGAGCCAGCAGCAAAGGCATCTCCAACTCCTCCGGCTCCGTCAGCAAGAGGCCAAGTGGCACCGGACGTCTCATGCGGTGGGGCTGCGTGACGGCAGCTACCGGCGCCAGCTGTGCCCCAGCACCCGCAGCCCTGCAGACAGTCTGGCTCCCGTGAGTGGGGGGCAGGGAGGCCTTCTGGGGTCTGGGAGGCAGGTGGGGGGGAGACTCTGGCCCAGCCCCTTCCCACTGCCCTCTCTGCTCTGTGCCCCTGCAGAGTTATCTCCAGAGCCTTCGAGAACGTCAGCTGGGACCAGGCCCCATGGCCACAGCACCTCACACCATAGTGGACTTGGATTCTGACTGTGGTTCTACTGTACCTCTCAACACCCCTTTGGGTCCCACCCAGACCTGAGCCTACTTCCGCATTGAAACTTCGTCACAAGCAGGGACCGGAATTTAGGTGGATGGGGCCTATGACCAAGGGACCTCCACTTGACCCTGCCGCTTCGTGAAGTTGGGATAGACTTTGTGTATAAGAGCGGGAGAGATTGTATAGGAGATAAGGCACTTGCATGCAGCTGCGTCAACCGTGACCCTGGTTCAAATCCCCAGCACCACATATGGCTCCCTGAGCACTGTCAGGGATCACTCCTAAGCAAAGAACCAGGAACAGCCCCTGAGAATGTCCACCCAGACCAATCCTGTAGGGATGTTCCTGGGTCAGATGGAAATGAAGCTAGTGGGGAGAGGAAATGGAAATAGGAATCAAATAGTAGAGGTGCCCTGGTCTGAATTTTTTTTTTTTTTGGCTTTTTGGGTCACACCCAGTGATGCTCAGGGACTGGACTGAGGAATTACTCCTAGCGGTGCTCAGGGGACCATGTGGGATGTCAGGGATTGAACCCAGGTCGGCTGTATGCAACACCCTACCCACTGTACTGTTGCTTTGGCCCCTGGTCTGATTAAGTCCTTCCAAACCAAGGATGTTCCTAACCCACACAGCCTTCTAGCCCACCCAAATATGCCTCATCATGATAAAATGAGGGGATTTAAGGCTGGAGCAATATATAGCAATAAGGCACTTGGCTTGCACGAGATAACCTGACTTCCACCCCAGTGTCCTGTGTAATCCCCTGAACCTCACCAGTAGTGATTCCTGAGCACAGAACCAGGAATTAGCCCTGAGCACAGCTGGGTGTGCCCCCACCCCCAAAATGGAGAGAAAAAAAGAAGAGGGAATTTATTGGTATAGATAGAGAAAATCAAGGAGTCTCCTACAGTACTTGATAACTTTTTGAGGGAGAGAAAGGCATCGAAGAGCTCTAAGACACCCCCCACCCCCAGACCCTCCATTAGGAAGAGGCAAGTCTGGTTAGCATTTCTTCCTGATCTTCTTACACTCAAAGCCTTTTCTCCTACCTCAACTGGAGGCACTGTCCTCCATGGTGCTTCTCTATCCTTTAGTGAGGGAAGACCAGGGGCAGTTCCTAACTTAGCACCCACCTTCCCCAAAAGCTGACTCTTGGCTCCAAAAAGAGAGCCTTGGCCCACATAAAGTCTGGTCCTTGGACCCAAAGCAGCCAGGTCTTTGGGGTTGCAGGAAAACAAGTGCCTTCTCTGCCTCTGAATTTAGTCGATACTAATCTCTTAGCTGGACGTTATTCCAACCACTAACCCAGTTAACTCCACCACCCACCCCCCACCCCAACCTGATTCTCCTGCACCCAGTGGTTCCCCAGTTCCCGGGCAGCATGAAGGAAGATGGAGGCTCCCCGGGGAAGCCCAGCCTTGAGGGGAGGAGGCAGAACAAGGGAGCATGTGAATAAAATGGCATTCCTCCATGAACCAAGGAGTCTGGCCTCTACTGTTGCCGCTCTTTTCTCTCTGCACCCGGAAGCGCTTAGCCATTCTGGCCACCCTGTCAGGTTCAGCCAGACTGTCCTCCAAAGCCAGTCCCCTGAGCACCTCCTCATCAGACTGGAGTGTGCTGGAGCAAGAACACTCACGCTGACAACTGTTCAGTCCTCCTAGGAAAACAGCCTTTATTAAGCACAAAGTGCCAGACACTGTGCCCGGCACCCCATGGGCAATATTCCACAGAAGGCCACGATCCTGCAGGGGTGGTATCGACCTCATTTTTGCCAACGGGCCATCTGAGGCTCCAGGAGTTTCATAAATTTTCTCAAAGTTCTAAGCAAGTCAATGGATTCTTTGTTTTATTTTTGGGGGGTAACACCCGGCCCTGCTCTGGGTTTATTCCTGGCTCTGGCTCTGTACTCGGGAGTCACTCCTGGTGTGCTCGGGAGGCCAAATGGGATGCCGAGGATCAAACTGAGTCATCCGCATTCAGGGTAGGCACCCTACCCGATGTATTACTCTCCAGCCCCAAGTCAATGGATTCTCTAGGATTCCAGAGCCTTTGCTCATTTTACTGGCCATCCCATTTTCTTGCACTTTATCAGGGAAGAACTGGACCAAGGCAGTCAGCATTCCAGCCTGCTGGAAGCTTAAGGCCTTGTTGATGGCTTCCTTCTACCACTGTCTTCTACAGAGTAATAACTAGTGTTGGAAAGTTATCTCAGACAGGGAAGACATGGATGGAGTCAGGGGCTGACCCAGTGTCACGGAATCACACTGCCCAGAGAGAAGGAACACAGGACAGTGGTGACTAGAACTGGGTCATGGAGAAGCCCGAGGTCTATGTTGGAGGTTCAGCACCTGCAGAATGGCATGAGCAGACATTTGATTGAGGTGTTAGGACTCAGGGCGGGTGACATGACCAAGGAATGAAAGGGCAGGAGAGCCTGTCACTGAGGGCTTAGTATCCAAGCTCGTGTCTGCAGGTGAGCGGTCAGTGCTCCAAGTGGTATTTACGACAGAAGGAACTGTGTTTGCAGTTGTTTCTGTGGCCCAGTAGCCAGTGGCTGTGGAAGAGGCAGCTCCCGGTAAAGGGGTGGTGGCTGGGCTCCGGGGCCGACAGTGCATCCAGTTGAGGGCGATGTCTTTCGGGTAGCCTTTCTCCACTCGAAGCTGCCGATTGAGGCTCCAGTATTGTTTGCCCTTGAAGAAATAGACTCGGCCATCCCGCCAACTCATGGCTGCTGACGGCCGGTCTGGCACTCCTGTGAACAACTTCTTAATGGGTTTTGGGTAACTTCTGAAGTCAGTTTTGGCCAGTTCATCCCACTGCCAGTAACCAGAGCCCTAAAAGTGGGAAGGAGGAGAAGAAAGTGAAGGGAGGGGGCTGGAGCAATAGCACAACGGGGCGGGGAGGGCGTTTGCCTTGCATGCAGCCAACCCGGGTTCAATTCCCAGCATCCCATCTGGTCCCCTGAGCACTGCCAGGAGTAATTCCTGAGCACAAAGCCAGGAGTAACCCCTGAGCATTGCCAGGTGTGACCCAAAAAGCAAAAAAAAAAAAAGTGAAGGGAAAGTGTAGGGACCCTAAGAAGTCTCCCCCCAGCCCTCCTGAGCTGGAAAGCTCCCTGAAGTGCAACTCTGTACTTCTGTGTGAGGTAACCCCTGGGTTTGACCACATACCTTAAAGAGGAACACCTTCTTGTTGAGAGGCCAGTAGAGAGCTGCATCCAGGTTGGGTTCTACCTTATTCAGTCTCTTGGGGAAACCAGGGGCCATCTTGAAATTAATGTAGCGCCACACCTTGTCTCCTGAGAGCATGTAAAGGTGGTCATCTCTAGTTTTGGGTTCCTCCATACCACCCGCTCACCTTCTCTTTTATGGCTCACTGGGAGACGCCCAGGTAAGACCCTGTAACTTCATCCCCTTACCTTTATTTTTTTAATTAATTAATTAATTAATTTTGCTTTCTGGGTCACACTCAGTGATGCACAGGGATTACTCCTGTCTCATGCACTCAGAAATTACTCCTGCCAGTGCTCGGGAGACCATATGGGAGGCTGGGAATCAAACCCGGGTTGGCTGTGTGCAAGGCAAACACCCTACCCGCTATGCTATTTCTCCAGCCCCAATCTCCTTACCTTTAAAAAAGTGAATCCACTGTGTTCGGGGAGAGTAGACAGCAGCATCCAGATTTCCTGGGAGTCCCTCCCACAGGGCAGACACTCGGAACAAGGGACCCAGCCCCGAATCTGTCACCGTCCATACATAGTTTCCCTTGAAGGCATAGGTCTTGTCCCGGGGCCCTGAGAGCAAAGATGTGTCATCAAGTTCAAAAATGGGTCACGTGGTCAGCTGTGCCTCACATGCTTCTCATGTAAGGCCATGAATCTTATCCCCACACCGCACATCCCCCAAATAACAGCATTAATATGTGAGTCATTCAAAAAAGAAAAGCGGGTCAAATAAAGACCTATGATGTTCATGAGGTTTTCTCCAGCTGGCTGTGTTTCTGGGTATGTTTTAACAGTCCGTACAGGCTGGAGACAAAGGAAATACCTGCCTGGCGAAGCTGAATTAGGGAAAGCTACTTCCCGTGCCATAGGCCTGCTCTCATGGCTGGGACCCCCTAGTTGGGATCAAACCCCTGTTATTCCTATTGGCCTACCCTCGAGGTCAGTGGGCAGCCCCCACTGCCTGGAGGAAAGGGCCTCCACCAGCATCATGGGCCTCACCTAGCATTATGGCATCCAGTTCACCTCCGCAGGGGTCTGGCATAGGTCCGGGTTCTGTGGGCACTGGAGGTACAATGGGCGCTTCTGTCTCTTCCTCCTCCTCTTCTTCTTCTTCTAGCTCAGGCCTCTTCTTGCCTGCAAGGTAAGGCAGCACTGCCGAGGGAAAGAACTCAAAGCACTGGGCCCCCACCCTAATAAGTTCTAGTTAGAAGCCCCAGAGAGAGGAATGTGAGGGCGTTTCCCGTGAGGGTAAGCAAGACCGTCCTGGTATCAGTAGGAGACATGTTTTCATTTTGAGAGGCACCAGAACAGGGAAAGAAGGTTAATGGGTTGCGCACTCTTCATTCCTAAGAATGGGGTGTGTTGGGAGTAGGAAGAGACTTGCAAGGAAATATTAGACCCAAAAGAGTCAAAGAGAAACATTTCCTGAAAAGGCCTGGAACCTGGAGGGAGCGCCACAGGCTGAGCGTGTGGGCGGCCTGCGTTGGATTTCTTGACCTCTGAGCACACTGGGATTAACTCCCAACGCAGAGCCAAGAGTGGCCACCAAATCCATACACCCCGCCCTCCCCTACAAAAAAAAAAAAGGAAAAAGCCTGAAAAATTTGATGAGAGGAAGAAAAGGAAACCAAGCCATTTCCTTCCATGGGTGTTAGACCTGTCTCTCCAGGCTGGAAGGGATACTCGTCAGACTGAACATCCTCAGAGAGGAAATGAACAAACCGTAGAGAGCCTGGATCCCAGCCACGTCGTCCGGGTGCAGCCTGAAGTTGGGCCGGTAGCCAGCATAGACGGGCGCCATGAGGGCCTTGGTGTACCGGGAGTGCCCAAGACCCAGGGCGTGGCCGATTTCGTGGGCTGCAATGATGCGCAGGTTCACTCCCCAGTAGGTGCCCTCAGTCCAGAGCTCGTCTTCATCAAAGTGCACACTGCCCAGCTCTGGGATGTCGGCATGGGCCAGCACCCTCCCTGGACAAAAGCAGAGGTGGACAGGAAGGAGATGAGAGGCCATTTAACTGGAGCAGTCCTACCTGTCATAAACCCCCACCTCTCCAGGGTCTCCAAATTCCCCCAGCTACAATCACCACCTCTGAGGTGTCTCTCTCCTTTCAGATTCATCTTGCCTCTCCCGGGGAGGCCCCACACTCAGTTTCTGTGCCTCTCAGTCCAGCCCTCTCCAAGGTGTCTGTTTTGCCTTTTGTTCAGTTTTTAGGCTACACATAGGTTTTAGGCTCTGCACTCAGGAGTCTCTCCTGGTGGTGCACAGGGGGATGCATCCGGGATGCTGGGGATCGAACCCCAGTCGGCTGTGTGCAAGGCAAGTATCTTACCCTCAGTGCTATCTCTCTGGCCCCTCTGAGCTGTCTTATACGGAAGAATTGAAGTCAGGGGAAAGTTTCAAAGGGGAGGTGTGATAGTGCCCTGCAGAGGCGACCAACTGCTCCCCAGAGAAAGTCAGAAGGTGGTTTAGAGCGAGCACAGGGACAACGTGAACAGAAAAGGTCAAGGTGATAGTGCTCATCTCAGTGGTCTTGACCAGGCAGTCAAAAGGCAGTGCCTACCAGGCCCATCAAAGTTATTGGAGCAGTAGCGACTTTCGCGGCCGTGGAAGGAGAGTCGGATGTCAGCCCAGCCACCATGCACCTCCCGGAACGTCAGGGGGGCCACCCTGCTCCAGTACTGGAAGGCCTGAAGCAGGGCTGTCCTGGCTGTGGACGCTGGGAGGGTGGAGGGCAAATTCACGATGTGGAAGGTCAAGTGCTTCTTTCTCCAGCGGCCTGGTCATTGGAGCAGAGAAGAGATTAGAAGCACGATCCTTTCTGTCAGCTCAAAGAACCGCCCAAGCCAGGGTACTCAGCAAAGCTCTCTCATGACACCTTCAGAGAGGGGATTACCAGATAATCACTCAGTTCTGAGCTGATATAAACCGCCTTGATGCCGTCTAGATTTCAGAGTCATGCCCACTTCCTCTCTTTAGGCTTTGTTCTCACCTAGCAGAAGGTATTTGAGGGTCTTCTGGTTGAAGGGGTCCTCCAGGCCACAACGAGGCTGCCTCATGCGGGCTCTTGTGATGTCATCCAACTGACCCGAGACTGGTAGTTCAGATGCTTCCTGGAAAGCTCTGGAACGAGGGAGAGGGTTGAGTAAAGCAGGACAGGGAATCTGGAAGGTCCAGCGCTGGAGCAATAGTACAGTGTTTGCCTTGCATGCTGCCAAACCAAGTTCAATTCCCGGCATCCCATATGATTCCCCAAGTGCTGCCAAGAGTGATTCCTGAGCCAGGAGTAACCCCTGAGCACTGATGGCTGTGGCACTCCCTTCCACTCCCCCCAAATAAAATGGCACAGAGTCTCTGAAGCTGTTAGGGGCACTCCAGTGTCCTAGCCGTTGTTATTCTTGTTTTGGGGCCATATAGGGAATGCTTAGGGGCTACTCCTGGCTTGATGCTCAGGAGTCACTGCTGGCAGTGGAGCCCCTACAAACACTCCAGCCTATGATGCTATTTCTTTAGCTCAAATATCTAGTCCCCTTAACTGGAACTTTCTTTTTCTGTGGAAGTGGGGATGGAGCTGTGGGGATATTGGGCCATACCCAGCCATGCTCAGGGCTTACTCCTGACTCTAAGCTCAGGAATTTCTTCAAGACCCTGGGGATACTCCAAGTTGACCTCCCGATCTTTAGACTCTGCTTCTTCCCCTTACAGCAGTGCCCAGCATTTCTTTTCTCCAAGAAAGTGTTGCATGGAGCTGCCCTGTGCTGGTCAGTGTTCAGGAGACCCTCCCACCCCTGCTCCCTCCAGAGGGCTTGGTTCCCTCAGTCCTCCCCCTCTAGACTGGGTCTCCCTCTTGGTGCAGCTTGCTTTGATGCTCTGGGGTAATTTCATTCATCAGGCACTGAGGCACTGTGGATTTTCAAGGAAGTTCAAAACAGCTGAGAGCGGGAGGAAAGTGACCGATTAGATCCACATTATGAAAACTTCAAAATAGAAATTAACAAGTGCAGGCTGGAGCACTAGCACAGTGGGTAAGGCGTTTGCCTTGTATGCGGCCAACCCGAGTTCGATTCCCAGCATCCTATATGGTCCCCTGAGCACCACCAGGGGTGATTCCTGAGTGCAGAGCCAGGAGTAACCCCTGTGCATCGCTGGGTGTGACCCAAAAAGCAAAATAATAATAATAATAATAATTAACAAATACTGGGACTGGAGTGATAGTACAATGGGTAAGATTCTTGCTTCAGGTCAAACCCTAGCACCACATATGGTTCCCCTGAGCAACATCAGGAGTGATCCCTGAACACAGAGGCAGGAGTAAGTTGTGAACACTGCCAGGTGTAGTCTCAAACCAAATCATCATCATTGAAATAAAAGAGTTCTGCTGAAGAAATAGTACATAGGCATTTGCCTAGCATATGTCTGTGGCCACAACCCAGATTCCAATTGATACCACATATGGTGCAGCCCTGAGCACAGAGATAGGTGTGTGACCCAGAGCACTGCTGGGTGTGCTCCCCATCAAAAAAAAAAAAAACGAACCAAAGAAACAATGATGAATTAAACGTTTACCAAAGGCAATATCATGTGAACAACCCAAATCTAAGTTAATTCAACTAACTGGAGTTTGTTTCTCATATTTTTCTTGTCTTTTGGCGGGGTGATTAAGGTTGAGATCACACCTGGTGGTGCTGACAGGCAATTCTGGGCTCTCTGCTCCGTGCTCAGTTGACCACGTGCTGTGCTGGGGATCAAACCTGAGCCTCCCACGTGCAAAGTATACGCTCCAGTCATTCGATAGCTTCAGTCCCTCAAGTCAGTTTTACGTATAAATTATAACTCATGTGGGATGTGACTGAATATTTCCAGTCACAGTACAGGGTGTGGGATGGAGCCTGCAAAGGAGCACAAAGGAGCCAGGAAGATTCCGTGAATGTGTGCTGCATCCCCCTTGGCCCCTGTCTCATTGCCCGATGTTAGAGTCCCCTGACAAGGATTGAGCCAGGCTGAGGTGGGCCTGGGAAAGGAAAGGAAGAGGAGGAACAGGACCTTGTCAACTTGACCCTGAAGACACGTGCCTTATAACTTCTCACCTCAGAGCTTCTTTGATATCTTCTGGCCTGAAGTCTTCAGATCTTTCTAGAGGCTTCTGTAGGTACCCATATTGCAAGAGGTAATCCTATGATGAGGGTGGGCAGAAGAAAAGCTTAGCCTTCAGGCGAAGCTTCTAAATGACCTAACAAGTCCATGAAGCTAGTTGGGAATAGACTTAGAAGGACAGAAAGAGCCTCATCATGGGCTTGGGGAAGAGGGAGGGGGAGGAGGGGGAGCCGGGCAGAGTAGACCTCGGAGTAATGGAAGGAAGGGCAGGCAGATTGACGGCCAGGAAGAAGGCAACTGTGAAGACATACCCACCTCATCCCTCCCAGCCTGGGTCCCTCTTTCCGCAGTGGGGCACTCACCATTGCTGCCTCCTCTTCTGCAGGCCCCAGGGCCCGGCCTGAGACTGTCATGGGGAATAGGAAACCCAGCCAGAGGCACTGCCAGTTCATTGTCCCAGCAGGCAGGAGCTCCGCAGGCTGTCTATGCCCTCTCCCCTGCAGTTTCTGGAAGCTTAGAGGAGTAGGGTCTGGGGAGGAGGGCTCTTACCTCCAGTATTTTCACTCTCCAGCCCCTGATCCTCTTTATAGAACTTCAGCTAGGGGAGTTGGGGGGAGTGGCAGTGGAAGATGACTCAGCCCCCAGATATGTTGCAATTCACCATTAACCCCTGTCCTACCAGAGAGCAGAAGTTAAGAAGAGTCCCTAATTACTGTCCCGCCCATCCTCTGTTGGAAATGGGGAGAGCTGCACCTTGGCAGGATGAAAAGAATCTCCACAGAAACTGGAGACAAGGTCCTGGCCATACCCTGGACAACCAGCTGGACAATTCTGTGCCCCGGGACAGCCAGCTTCTTATCTTCTTCCTCAGTTCTCCTTTATCTGTTACAGGAGAGAGAAGTACAATAAAGCTACAAGATAGGACGTAGCTGGAGTTTTCTTGCATTTCAGAGAGAAGAACCCAGTGAGATGTCCATTTCTTTGCATCTAAGACAAAGTTGGAAATTTAAGTTCTTAAAGTCTACTTGTGTCTTTATTTTTTGGGGGGGTGTCACGCCCGGCGATGCTCGGGGGTTACTCCTGGCTCTGCACTCAGGAATTACTCCTGGCTGTGCTCAGAGGACCATATGGGATGCTGGGGATTGAACCCAGGTGAGCCGTACTTGTGTCTTTTTTTTTTTTTTTTTAGTTTTTATTAGTGACAAACCAAGAGGTACAGTTGTAGACTTACAAACTTTCGTGCTTGGGTTTTAGTTATACAATGATCAAGTACCCATTCCTCCACCAGTGCCCATTCTCCATCCACCACCACTAATCCCAGTATCCCTCCCCCCAATCCCCCCCATCCCACCCTGCCTCTGTGGCAGGGCATGCCCTTTTGTTCTCTCTCTCCTTTTGGGTGCTGTGGTTTGCAAAAGAGGAATTGAGTGGCAATCATGTTCAGTCTATAGTCTACTTTCAGCATGCATCTCCCATCCTGGGCAGATCTTCCCAATACCCTTTATTTGGTGCTCCCTTCTCTATCTGAGCTGCCTTTACCCCTAGAGGGTGATCTGGAAAAAACCTGAGTGCCCGAGAACAGATAGCTGGTTAAAGAAACTTTGGTACATCTACACAATGGAGTACTATGTAGCTGTTAGAAAGGATGAAGTCATAAAATTTGCATACAAGTGGTACTACATGGAAAGAATCATGCTAAGCGAAATGAGTCAGAAAGAGAGGGACAGACACAGAAAGATTGCATTCATCTGGGAACATAACGTAACAAAATAGGAGACCTAACACCCAAGAATAGCCAAGACACTTGAGTCTTTTTAATGAAAAAAAAAAAATTTTTTTTTTTTTCAGGGCTGGAGTGATAGTACTGCTTGACTTGCATGCAGCTGACTCAAGTTCGATCCCTGGCACTTCCTAAGATCTCCTGAGCACCTCTAGGAATGATCCCTGAGTGCAGTGTCAAGTATGACTCCTAGGAGTCACCCCACCCAGGAGTGACCCCACTAGGTCACTCGTGATTCCTGAGTGCAGAACCAGTAGTAAGCCCTGAGCAGCACGGGGTGTGGCCCAAAAATAAACAAAAAGTCTTTCTCCTCCCCCCACCCCACTCTCAGCCTTAATGAATCCAGGACATGGAGGTACCAGGTTGGGGGTGGGAAGGCAGGGTGTTAGAAGGACAGAAAAAGCAGAGGTCCTGGATAGAGCGTCCCTGCAGGGAGCTGGGGCCAGACTGAGGCTGGCTGGGCTGGCTGAGGCAAAGGAGTTCTAAGGGACAGTCAGGGGAGGGGCTAGGCTGGAAGTGCAGAGATGAGAAGGTGTGCTCAGGGAGAAAATTCCTGGTGTCCTCACCACTGGGTCCTTAGCTCCATCCTTCAGGCAACACTTAATAAATCTTTGAATAACTGGGGTGGGGCATGATGGGGCGCCAGCATTTAGAGAGAGCTCTAGAGACTGAATGCTATTTAAGAAGAAACACTCAGTTTGTTTGTTTGTTTTTGTTTTGAAGTCACACCCAGCAGTGCTCAGGGCTTACTCCCGGCTCTGTGCTCAGGGATCCCTCTTAGTGGAGTTCAGGGGATCTTTTTTTTTTCCTTTTTGGGTCACACCCAGAGATGCACAGGGGTTACTCCTGGCTCTGCACTCAGGAGTTACTCCTGGCGGTGCTCAGGGGACCATATGGGGTGCTGGGGGTCGAACTTGTGTTGGCCACGTGCAAGGCAAACGCCCTACCCACTGTGCTATCTCTCCAGCCCCATGGAGTTCAGGGGATCTTATGGGATGCTCGGGAATCAAACCTGGAACAGTTGCATGCAAGGCAAGTGTCCTAACGGCTCTATTATCGCTTTGGCCCCAAGAAACACTAAGATTTTATTGTAAAGGAGAGGATACAGAGAAACAGTACAGGAAGTAAGGTGCTTGCCTTCCCAGCAGCTGACCCTGCTTTGATCCCTGGCACAGGTGCAAAGCACACTGGGAGTAACCCCTGAAGTGCAGAGTCAAAATAGTATTAAGGGGTTGGAGCCATAGCACAGAAGGTAGGGCGTTTGCCTTGCACATGACCGACAGGGGTTTGATTCCCAGCATCCCATATGGTCCCTGAGCACCGCCAGGAGGAATTTCTGAGTGCAGAGCCAGGAGTAACCTCTGTGCATTGCTGGGTGTGACCCCCCCCCCAAAAAAAGACCGCTTGAGGTGGCAAACCCCCAAATAAAAACAAAACAAGCAAGAAACAATCAGGTCCAGAGATAGCTCAATGGGCTGGAACACAGGTTTTATAAGCACTTACCACCAATCGAGGAAATAAAAGTAAAGCAAATTTTTTTTTTAATTAAAAAGAATTTCCCCTCTCCCCCAGTGTTTCTATTTACTCAGGTTGAGGATAAACCACACCCAACAGTGCTCAGGGCTCTGTGCTCAGGAGTGTCCCATGGTGGTGCTCAGGGACCAGGCATTCAAACAGGGTTGGCACATGCAAGGCAAGTGCTCTTTGTACTAGCTCTTTGGCCCAGCATTTGTATTTTATCTCATCTAATTCCTCCCTCCACTGAGGGAAGAATTCTTCTGGTTATTTTCCATAAAAGAAAATGGAACGTCTGGGCCAGAGAGATGATGGGTAGGATGCTTGCCCTGCACACAGTCGGATGACCTGGGTTGGGTACCCAGCATTCCACATAGTCCCTCGAGCACCACCAGGTGTGACCCAAAAGCAAGCAAACAAACCGACCAAAAAATGGAAACGATGGAGGGTGGGACGGATGCTGGGACCCGTGGTGGTGGAGGATGGGCACTGGTGGAGGGATGGATACTTGATCATTGTATAACTGAAACCCAAGCACAAAAATTTATAAGTCTATAACTGTACCTCATGGTGTTTCACTAATAAAAAAAATTAAAAAAAGAAATATGTGAATAACCTCAATAAATTTGATGTATTAAATAAAAAAATGGAAACTCAGAGAGAGACATTTAAGGTGGAAACGGAGCACCCACTTGGTCAAGCTCTATGCCAATCCCTCTGCTACCTCCAGAACCCCAGGCACTCTCCAGGCAGCCCATTGACAGGGCACTTTGTTTTCTAAGTGGTTGGGACCCGCTGAAGTTATGCGTCATGTGACATCTGTGGTCCATCCAAGCACACAGAGAAGTTACTGAGTCCTTGTTCTCAGAAGGAACCCAACTCTGAATATTTCCCCACACCCCACTCTTAAAGGTTGGCAGCCTACAGGGGGCCCCTTCCCACCTCAGGGGAGACAGGGGGCAATTCTGACTCATGTCGGTAACCTCCCTGATGCTGGGTCTCCAGACCCACCCGACCTCTCAACAGGGCAACAATAGGGTGACTAAGTTCCATGGCCAGTGACAGGCAAGGAAAGACAGAGAGCCACCGACAGCTGCGTGACAGGCCCTCATCAAGGCACCCCACCCAGGAAATGATGACATTTGAGGACCAACTCCTGCTCAGCCCCCTGCAGGGCATTCTTTGCCCGCCCTTTTCCCTCTCCTTCCACCCCCATCCCCCGTCCCTTTTCTTTGATAACATGACATGTCTCCTTGAAAATCATATTTTAGGGCTTGGAGAGATAGTACAGTAAGTAGGACACTTGCCTTGCATGCGGCTGACCCAGGTTCGATCACTGGCATCCCATATTAAACCCAGAGCACTGCCAGGAGTAACTCCTGAGTATAGAGCCAGGAGTAAGCCCTGAGCATCACAAGGTGTGGCCCCCAAAATGAAAAGAAAACGTCATGAATTATCTTTGGTTTTTGAGCATCCTTGTAGGGGATGCTCCTAGCTCTGTGCTCAAAAGTAATTCCTAACAGTGTTTAGGGAACTATACAGGGCTGGAATTGAACCCAGGCCTCTTGTATACAAAACATATACTCAGCCCATTGAGCACTCTCTCTGGCCCCTGAAAACCATTGTTATTTTCTAACAGAAGTTTCCTAGGTTGTTTTTTTCTTTTCTGAATAAAACATATTCATTGCTCTTTGTAGTCATTTTGGAAAGTACCCAAATAAAGCAAGGATGAAAATTAAAACCACCGGTAAGTTCTACCCAGAAGAGACTCATTAGAACCGTTTTGAAGCACTTACTTGAACTTGCTCCTGGCTGATTCAGGGCCTGCTCTCCCTGCCCAGCCTCAGCTCTCAGACATTGCAGCTGGCACGGAAGGAAGACCAAGGGAAGAGGATGATGGGAGGAGTGAGTGCTGTGGGGGTACGCAGAGGAGGATACACAGACGGGAGCAATAGAAGGAGAATATCGGCTGGGATACAGTCTAATAACCGGAGCACGTTCTTTGCATGTGGGAGGACTGGGATCGATCCCTAGCACACAGAGTCCCCCAGCATCCTTGGGAATGACCCCCCAGTACAACCCAATAACCCAATGTGGAAGAAAGAAAGGAAGGAAGGAAGGAAGGAAGGAAGGAAGGAAGGAAGGAAGGGCAGGAGGGAAAAAAAGAGGAAGGAAGGAAGGAAGGAAGGAGAGAAACAGAGGAAGATGAAAGAAAGGAAGGAGGGAAGGAAGGAAGGAAGAAGAGAAACAGGAAGATGAAAGAAAGGAAGGAGGGAAGGAAGGAAAGAAGGAAGGAAGGAAGGAAGGAAGGAAGGAAGGAAGGAAGGAAGGAAGGAGGGAGGGAGGGAGGGAGGGAAGGAGGAAGGGAGGGAGAGAGGGAGGGAAGGAAGGAAGGAAGGAAGGAAGGAAGGAAGGAAGGAAGGAAGGAAGGAAGGAAGGAAAGGAAGGCAGGCACAGACTGTGAGGGCAGATTACTCCCTCTGCAGGCACCTCTAGTAAGCAAAGCAAAGAAGGGATGTATGTGTCGTGTGTCTTGTGTCTCAAGTGTCTTGCTGTGAGAGAGATGAGACATGGAGAGGGGGTTGTT